TTTATGGCTTGTCTTTTCACTTTATTTATGGCAGATTTTGATAAATACAGGTTCTTAATTTTAACATAGTCTAATTTATCAACTGTATCTTTCATGTTTAACATTTTATGTGCCTTATTTAAAAATCCTTTCTTATACCGAGATTAAAAAGATATTCTCCTTCCTTCCCCTTAAACATTTAAAATGTCTGTTTGGGATTGATTTTGTGTGTAATAAAAGAAAAGGATCCAATTTAATTTTTTTCCATATGAATAACCAATGTATAGTCCCTCCTTTCCCTACTGATCTGCCATACCACTGATGTTGTATATAAAAATTATATATATATACATATATATATATATATATATATGAAGAACATGCTCCACATTTCTCAAGCTGAAAGAACTGAAGAAAAAATTTAAGTCTTGAGTTGTAATAGTGAAGGATTCTACAGGGAAAATATTAAACGATGCAGGACGCATCAAAAGAAGATGGAAGGAATATACAGAGTCACCGTACCAAAAAGAATTGGTCGATGTTCAGTCATTTCAGGAGGTAGCATATGATCAAGAACAGTGGTACTTAAGGAAGAGGTCCACGCTGCACTGAAGGAATTGGTGAAAAACAAGGTTCTAGGAAATGACAGAATACCAATTGAGATATTTCAATAAACGGATGCAGCACTGGAAGCACTCACTCATCTATGTCAAGAAATTGGGAAGAGAGCTACCTGGCCAACTGACTGGAAGAGAACCATATTTATGCCTATTCCAAAAAAAAACTTATCCAACAGAATGCAGAAATCATCAAACAATATCATTAATATCACACACAAGTACAATTTTGCTGAAGATCATTCCAAAGCAGTTGCAGCAGTACATCAACAGGGAACTGACTGAAATTCAAGCTGACTTAAGAAGACGACATGGAACAAGGGATATCGTTGCTGATGTCAAAGATGGATCATGGCTGAAAACAGATATTTCAGTTATCTAGTGCTGCTATAACAGAAATATCACAAGTGGATGGCTTTAACAAAGAGAAATTTATTCTCTCACAGTTTAATAGGCAAGAAGTCCAAATTCAGGGCATCAGCTCCAGGGGAAGGTTTTCTCTGTCTGTCACCTCTGGAGGAAGGTCCTTGTCCTCAATCTTCCCCTGGACTAGGAGCTTCTCAGAGCCCTATCTTTTACTTTTGCATACATTGTTGGCAATGTTATTATTTTGCTTTAAACAATCTTATAAGGAAATTATGAAAAAATCTATCTTTTATATTTGCCCACTTATTTTCTACTTCCAGTACTCTTCTTCCCTTTATGTAGATTTGAGATTCCATCTTGTATCATTTCCCTTCAGCCTGAGGAATTTCCATTATCATTTCTTTGTAGTGCAAGTCTGATGCACTGGCTTCTTTCAAGCTTTTTTTAATCTCCTGTTTTCAGGATTTTCACTATAATACCTAGGTGTGTATTCCTTTTATTTATTGTGTGTGGGGCTCTCTGAGATCTTGAATCTGTAAGTAGATGTTTTTCATCAAATATAGAAAGTTATTTCTTTAATATTTTTCTGCCCTACTCTCACTCTCTTCTCTTTCTGGGACACCTATTAAGTATATGTTAGATTATCTAATATTGTCCCACAGGCCCATGAGGCCTTGTTCAATTTTCTTCAGTGTATTTTCTCATTTTTTTTGGATTGGAAAATTTCTACTCATCTCTCTTAAAGATCACTGACCCTATCATCTGACAGCTTCAATCTGTTGTTAAGCCCATCCATCAACTTTTTCATTTTAGCTACCGTGCTTTCCAATTATAGAATTTCTATTTTGTGATTTTTTATAGTTTCCATTCCTCCATCTGTTTACTCATTAAGCTCATATATCCCTTTAGTTCTTTGAACATGTTTATAACAGCTGCTTTAAAGTCTTCATCTGCTAAACTCAACATCTGTGCCAGCTTTGGGTCACTTTTTATTGTCTTCTCGTTCATGTTTTCCATTTGTTGTGTTCTGGATAATTTCTTCAGATTTATTTGCCAAATTACTCTCTTTAATTGGGTCTAATCTGTTGTTTAACCATCCATTTGGTTTCTAATTTAATTGTTATAGTTTACATTTCTAGAAATTCCGTTTGACTCTTTTGCAAATCAGCCTGTTAATTTTTAAAATTTGGATATCCTCTTTTATTTCTTCAAACATATGGAACACATTTATTTTATTTTCTGACTCCAATTAACTCCAGTACCTGTAGTCTGTCTTGGTATGATTCTGGTGTGGGATGCTTCTGCTGACTTCTGATTACGATGGCATTTTGCTCATCTTTCATTATTTCTGTTTTATTGTGAGCTCATGTTTGTCGGAACTTTCTTTCTGAGAATTCCTTGAGGCCTGGGTTTAAGTGTTATTCCTCTAGAAAGGATTTGCATTTGCTTTTGCCAGATTTTAGGGAAGAATCACCAATCTGGGATCATTTTAAACTATATTCTCAGCTTGGATATTTTGGATTTTTAACACCAAAAGAAAAAAAATGAACTCTAGCCCACATCTATACAAGGGCAAACTGTGATTTAGAATTATCAGGGACAACTTTTTTCACGTTTACCCAAAGCCAAAGTCAAGACAACTTAGTCCACAGAGTTCGAGATCACCAGAGATGAGTTTGGAGGTGCAGTTGTTGATGCTGGAGCAGTTAATCAAGCAGTGCACTTGCAAGGTTACAAGCAATAGTGCTGATGACCAGTCACTCTACAGTCAGGGGGTCTTGCAACCAACTGACCGAGAGGCTGTCTGTCCAACGATGCACCTCAACTGTGTGGGTGGTCTCTGGAATTAAGTTTTATACCTCAGTAGAGACCAGGTGCTAAATTCATAGCTCTGTGTTCTAAGCTATTCTTGCAAGGGTAAGCATTATTCTCAGCTAAACCTGAAAGTTACATCTGTGCTGAAATATTCCTGCCCTTGGGTTGTCAGGGTAATGGCCACTGGGATCAAATTTCTCCTCCAAGGACATGTAGTGAAAAAGCCTGCGAGACACTTATGACCTGTTGGCTGCTTACTACTGCAGCCATTTTTGTGTCCTAAGAGAAGACCCTATAGTCCCTGTGTCCACGTGGTGCTAGTAAGGGGCATGTGGCAAAAAGGGCCTCACAAGATGCTTGTCTGCCTACTCGCCATCTATCATCTGATAGTCATCATTAAAAGCCCCCTAGCAGACGCTACACTGAGGATGGTCCCAGTTTTCTGTTAGAGACATTGATCCAGTTCTCCCTTGCATCTGCCTAGACTTTGTGCTCTGTCCCCTGAGCACAACTGGCTTGCCTTCCACACCACCAGTGACCAGTAGACGCCCCCACCACACCAGCCAGCTTCATCTGTTCGCTCTCTCCCTGGAGTCATGCTTTCTTATTGTGTTTAGCCTCTGATGATTTCACATGCCTTGTTTTCAGAGTTGTTAGTCTAACATATGCAAGAAACAGAAGTTGCTGGTGGCATTTTTCAGAGAAATAGTTGACTAAGTTTGGTGACTCACTTGGTGGGAAAAATAGCTATGTAAGAGTTTTAAACTTGAAATATTAGGAAGAACTGATAGAAAGAGGGAAATTTGATGAACACTATCAGTGAACAGGAAAATGATGAGGTGTTTTCAAGACATTTTGAATTCCGTATATTAGTACACCATTCAAGTGGAGATGCCTCAGGGGCAACTGAGAAACTTATAGATTCATTCATTCATTCTCTTAACATTGTTCAGTGGCTACTATGAGCCAAGACTGTACCAGGCACTTGTTAGCACTAGAGAATTATCCTCAGGATGCCCTAAGCCATCAGAGCACCTCTGC